AAATCAAAAAATTAGCCGGGCGTGGTAGCGTGCGCCTGTAGTTCCAGCTACTTGGAAGGCAACTGCACTCCAGTCTGGGCGACACAGTGAGATTCCGACTCAAAAAAAATTTATTTATTGTAGAGATGAGGTCTCAACATGTTGTTCCGGTTGGTCTCGAACTCCTGAACTCAGGCAATCCTCTCCCAAAGTGCTGAGATTATAGGCATGAGCCACTGCACTCGGCTGAAGTATGTACAATTCTTTTTTTTTTTTTTTTTTTGAGTTGGAGTCTCACCCTGTCACCCAGGCTGGAGTGCAGTGACACGCTGCTGGCCACTGCAGCCTCAACCTGCTGGGCTCTGGTAATCCTTCTGCCTCATCCTTCCAAGTAGCCGGAACTACAGGCACGCGCTACCACGCCCGGCTAATTTTTTGATTTATTGTAAAGATGAGGTCTCGCCAAGTCGCCCAGGCGGGTCTCGAACCCGCGGGCTCAGGCAATCCACTCGTCTCGGCCTCCCAAAGTGCTGGGATGACAGGCTGAGCCACTGAGCCTGGCCAGTATGTCCAATTCTTATCTCCCTTTGACAAATGAGGAAACTGAAGCCCAAAGAGACAGGTAATTTGCCCAAGGTCCCGCAGCAAGTAAGCAGAGGAGCTGGGACTCGAACCCAGGCAGTTGGGCTCCAGATTCCATACACACAGCAGCCCCCAAAGTCAGAGGTGCAGAGGCCTGCAGAGGCCATCTTGTCCAACTCTCATTCTTCAGATGGGAAAACTAAGGCCTGAGGTGGCAAGGAACTTGTCACGCAGCACATAAACAGCAGACTCGGGTCTATGCCAGGCGGAACCCAGAAGGCCTCTGCTCCCAAGTTTCCTTCTGTCTGGCCTTCCCAGACGACTCAGCCTGCCTGCCATCTAATTGGGGCCCCGGGACCTCCTGCCCTGCCTCTTCTCCTGGATTCACCATGATTGATCTTTCTGGGCGGAATGGGAGGGCCGGTAGTGGGTTGGGAGTGGGGAGAGAGACAGGAACCTTGTGGCCTGATCTTGGTGCTTATTTCGCCCTGTGGTTTGTCCCTTCGGGGATCTGCAGGCCTAGATGACCACAGGCAGGAGACAGGAAATGCAGTCGGGAGCTGCTCTCAACTGTGGAGGCCAAAGTGGCTGGTCCTGCTTTTCCTACATGCAGGCCCAGCCCTGGGAATGCTGCCAGGCAGGTCAGAGACTCCCACGCCTGTCCTCCTGGGTGTGGGTGCGGCCTGGGACCCTGGAGGCAGGCCCATGGGTGTGGGGCTGGAGTGGGGGACCCAAAGGGGCTGGGGGAGGGGATGGAAGCCTTGAGGGGTCGTTAGAGATACACTGGAAACAGGCTGGGAGGGTTTCCGAGGGAAGACGCCCCTCCCCAGGAAAGGACCTCGGTTTGAGTCCCACAATGAACCCCAAACCTGAAGGCAGCTCAGAGGCCACCCGCCTGCCCCTTGCTGACCAGGAGCAATGCTCGCTGATGTCCCTCCGTGTCACCTCCAAAGCCCTTAGAGTGACCCCCTTCCTCCCTCGGACCTGCCACTGCTCAGTGCTCCCTACTGCCAGCAGGACGAGAATCTTCTGCCTCAGCTTGGATGCTGGGAGCCTGCCTAGCTCAGCTCCACTGGACTCTCAGGCCTCAGCTCGCTGTGTCTTCCCAGACATGGGCGACATCTTTGTTAGGCTGTTTGAGGCCACCCCTCCCTCCTCTATGTGTTCAATCCTCCTGCCCTTCAAGGCACCTCCTCCAGGAAGCCTTCCTGGATCTCTGCCCTTCTCCGGGGTTCTTACATGGGTTACCTCTATCTGCCCAGGGTTCCACAGACAGCTCTTTTCTGTCCATGCTTTTTTAAAAAATTTTTTTGAGTTGGAGTCTCACTCTGTCGCCCAGACTGGAGTGCAGTGGCCGCTCCCGGCCACCGCAGCCTCGACCTGCTGGGCTCTGGCGATCCTTCCACCTCAGCCTTCCAAGTAGCCGGAATTACAGGTATGCGCTACCACGCCCGGCTGATTTTTTTATTTATTGTAGAGATGAGGTCTTGCTGCCTAGGCGGGTTTCGAACCCGCGGGCTCAGGCAATCCACTCACCTCAGCCTCCCAAAGGCACGGGATTACAGGCTGAGCCACCGAACCCGGCTGCTTTTTATTTTTTTAGAAACGGGGACTCAGTCTGTTGCCCAGACTGGAATGCGGTGGGGCAATCATAGCTCACTACAGCCTTGAACACCTGGGTTCAAGTGATCCTTCCACCTCAGCCTTCTGAGTAGCTGGAACTATAGGTACATGCCATCATGCCCAGTAAAATTTTAATTTTTTTTTAATGATGTGGTCTTGCTATGTTGCCCAGGCTGCTCTTGAACTCCTGGCCTTAAGTGATCCTTCCACCCTGGCCTCACAAAGTGCTGAGATTACAGGCATGAGCCACCATGCTGGGCCTCCTGTCCATGCCTGATGTCCCACGACTGTGATCCCTCAGGGAAGAGGAAGAGAAAGTCAGCAACCGGGGATCCTGAGGGCTTTCTCTCCTGCCCCTCAGCCCCACCTTCAAGGAGCTGGGGAACGGGGCAGTGTCTGGAGCCAGGCAGCCTGAGCTTGGATCCCAGCTGTGATTTTTCTGGCTGTGTGATCTTGGGGTAGTTACCTAACCTTTCTGAGCTCCAATTTCCACATCTGCAAAAAAGGGGATGGTAACAGCACCTACGCTCCAGTCCTGCAGGCTTGCAGGCTGGCACCAAAGCTCACTGACCTTGTAAGGTCCTTCTCCCTCTAAGCCTGTCCCTTGGCTCTCTTCCCACCCCCTCCCGTCCCCTTCCATCCTTTGCTTTGCTCTGGCAAGATGGATACATTGGCCAAGCTTGGCCATCCATTGCTCACTCCTGTCCTTTGACATATACTCTCTGCCGGGAATGCTTTTCCCGCTGTAGCCACCTGCTACCTTCCTTTCCGCCTTGAAGACTCAGCTGAGTGTCACCACTGGGAAGCCTTCCTTGGTTTTCCCCATTACCATCCTGCCCCGCCAGGGCTGGCTCAGAGGCCCCTCTTCTGAGTTTCCCAAGCAGCCCACTGGCCCTTGTGATGGTCTCCCCAGCCAGATGGGGGCCTCACTCCCCCTGGGCACCCAGCAGCAGGGGAGGGAGGGAGCACAGTCCTCCCCCACCCCCAGAGGCCCGAGAAGAGACGGAGGAGATTCAGGAGTGAGCAGGGCTCCCCTGAAGGCCCCTCTGCCCACCCCAGCTTTATTTGTTTCTAGAATCATTCCATTTGGCATTCTCAGTCACCACCATGGCCATCCCAGGCGCACAGGCCACATCTCATGCAGTTAAAAGACAGGGCGGGGGGTGGGGAGGGGAGGGTGGGAGCCGACGGCCTGTCCTGCACAACCACTGGGTCTCAAAGAGTCAGGGGCTCCCAGGCTTGCCCATCCATGCGTCCCCTGGCCTTGTGCGGCCCTCCTGCTGCTTGCCACAGGGTAGAGAGCTTCATCTTGGGGCTGGGCCATGGCTGTGTCAGGTGAGACGGCCACCATCCTGCGTCCAGTCCTGTGGCCACCCTAGGCCGGCCGCCCCCCACCCGTCACCATGTCATCGGGCACAACTGGTTGGGTCTGGCTCTCCATAGCTAACCAGGGCCAAGGAACAAAGGCAGCCAGGCTGGGAGCTTGCGCTGTCACCTGTGGGTGGCCCCGGAGAGCAGGCACTGCCGCCCCTCCCCTCCTTTGACGGGGCAGGTGCACCCAGCCCTCAGCGGCAACAGGCACAGGCCTGCTGTTTTTCTGGGACAGCCTTTGGCTGACGAGGTCTGCCTCCGCCGCTGACACCTGCAAGGGTGTGCCTGCCTCATTCTTCCTGGGGCTGGACCAGAGACACTCATGTGGTGTAATAGCCCAGCGCCTCTGCTTCTGGGCGGGAACCCCCTTAGCGATCAGGCAGAGGCTGGACAGCTCCTGAAGCCAGCAACTTGCCCGGCTTCTCCCAAGTTTCTCGGAGGGCACCCACTTCCCCAATAAGCCACTTGTCCAAGGGTCCCCACCTCAGGTTTTGCTTCTGGGGCACTCGACCTAGGACAGCCAGTGCCCCGGGGGTTGGAAATACGATGGAGAGCCAACACTTTCCTAGTGGGGTCATCCTTGAAGCCACCCTTCCATCCCAGCTTCCCCTGACCTCCCATCAGGCCTCGGCCACCTGGGCTGGCCCTCCTCACTGCCCCCGTTCCAAGGCCCAGCCAGAGGGTCTCGTGCTTGCCGCTCTCCCGGGTGCTCGCAGCCCACCAAGACCCTGGCTGTCAGTGTTCCATCTGGCCAACACCCACTGGCCCCAGGCTTGCCCGAGGCCTCCTGGCGGGGGTGCCCACAAACTCCTGTGGGCCAACAACTGCTCTGAGCCCGAGGCCTGGCCTGGGTGGAGGTCCAGGGACGAGACTTCCTCGAAAGTCCTTTCTGTACTGGTGTTCCTTCCACATGGCCTGCAGCCTTCCTCTTGGGCCTGGTCTCTGGTCTCTTCTGTCCTTCCTCGGGCCCCTGCAGCAGGCTGAGGACTGAGGACGGGAAGTTCACATCTTGCCATGGCCCAGGCTGGGCCCTGCGCCCGGGACATGCTCAGGTCTTTCCCAGCCCCTCCAAGTGCGACATCTTCCTCCTCCAAGAGGCTCTCTCAGTGCCCCCCAGCCCTCAGAGCCCCCCGGGTCCAATTTGGCACTGAGCAGACCCCCGCAGGACAGGGGGATGTTGGCTTCTTGACAATTCCCTGTAGATTGCTCTAGGTTCCAGAGTGTGGTCCAGCTGGCCTCCAGGAGGGGTTGGGGAGGGGAGCCCGAGTCAGAGCACTATGGCCAGTTCCCTGCCACCCTCCCTGGGTCCTGGTCTGGCTACAGCTGGTCCCCAGCAGGAGCAAGCCCCGGGGCCCTGGACACGGAGCCACGCCCGCTTCTCTGCAGCCATCAGACAGAGGGACTGAGATGGCTCTTGAGGACTCCCTTGGGAGACCCCGGTGTTCACGGCTTCTGCGGGGCTGTGGAGAGGGCGTCGGAGAGGACTGAGCTGGCACGAGGTTCCAGCAACTCCACTGCCCACCCGGCCCGGCCCGGCTGCTAGTTTCGCCGGACAGCGTGCCACATGGACACGGGCCTGCGAAGCGTGGCCAGCATCTGGTTCCAGTGTGTGGTGCCCATGCCGCTGGCCGATGGCCCGATGATGACGTGGCCCACGTTGTCCCCACGGCCATCGCTGCTGCTCTCAGCCACCGTCACGCGGAGAGACAGGTCCTGGGGAGAAGGCAATGCGGGAGCTGGGGGCCAGGGGCAGCCCGGGTCCTCCTGGGCTCCACGAACGCCAGGCCCCAGCTCTGATCTGGGAGGTGAGACTTGTCCAAGGTCGCCCCACAAATACATGGTAGGCAAGGATCTGAACTAGGTCTGCCTAAGCCCATGGCCTTCTCTTGCTGCCTCCCACACAGTGGCAGTCCCAGATCGCCAGGGTTCAAATGCTGGCCTTGCCACTTCCCTGTGGGGTGACCTTGGGCAGCACCTCGCGCTCTTCCTACCTCAGTTTCTCCATTCGTAGAATGGTGATGATAATACTGGTTCCTACCTCACCCGGCTGGTCCGGGAAGGAACGAGCTACAGCATGGAGGGTGATGCCAAGGCACAGTCAGAGCATGACAGAGGTCTGTTGTTACTAATATTATCATCGTGATGTTGGACTTACAACTGGGGAAGCGAAAGAAATTGCTTGATAGCTGGGCCTTTGGGAACAGAGGATAGAGGATTGAGTGAGACTCCTACTCAAAAAAAAAAAAAAAAAGAGGCCGGGCACAGTGGCTCAAACCTATAATCCCAGCACTTTGGGAGGCTGAGGCAAAAGAATTGTCTGAGTCCAGAAGTTCAAGACCAGCTTGGGCAACTTGGCAAGACCTTGTCTCTACAATAAATAAAAAAATCAGCCAGGTGTGGTGGCACGTGCCTGGAGTTCCGGCTACTTGGAAGGATGAGGCGGAAGGATCACCGGAGCCCAGCAGGTGGCTGTGAGCATGCCACTGTACTCCAGCCTGGGTGACAGTGAGACCCCGATTCAAAAAAAAAAAAGTTGGGCACAGTGGCTCACACCTATAATCCCAGCATTTTAGGAAGCTGAGGTGAGAGGATTGCCTGAGCCCAGGGCTTCGAGACCAGCCCAGACAACTTGGTGAGACCTCGTCTCTACAATAAATCAAACAATTAGCAGGGCATGGTGGCGCATGTCTGTAGTTCCAACTACTTGGAAGGCTGAGGCGTAAGGATCGCCTGAGCCCAGCAGACGGAGGCTGCGGTGGCTGTGAGCATGCCATTGTACTCCATTCTGGGCACAGAGTGAGACTCTGACTCAAAAAATAAGAAAGTAAAAAATTGAATTTCTTGAGACCAAAGTGGTCAAGCTGAAACTAGAAACTGACCTTTTTTCTCCTCCCCACTTCTCCCGTGGTCCCAAGAAGCCTCTTGCTTTTAGAGGCTGTGAAGTGGCACCATGACCACCCAGGGGGAGGCAGGGGACAGATGGGCAGCCCGTCCCATAAGGGTGACAGGACCAGCCAGAGATGTGGGATGGTTGCCTGGGTTAGGAATGCCCGGAGTGAGGCAGAGTTCTGGGCTTTCCAATCCAGGTGGCTGCCTGGGGGAGGGGAGATTGGATGGGCTCTGTACAGCTCAGGGATATGTGGAGGGGGCAGGTTTTGGCTCAAGGCACAAGGACGTTCTCACTGTCAGTAGTGTCCAAGGAGGCAGGAAACAGTGAGGGGAGGTGGTGAGATCCCCATCCTCTGAGGCATGTAAGCAGGGACTAAACCATATCCTCTGCAGTCCTCCCACAGAGTCTGTGATGTCCTGCTGGGAGGTCTCCCTGGGGACCATCACCTCCTCCTTCTTTTTTTTTTTCTATTGATTTATTGTAGAGACGAGGTCTCACCAAGTTGCCTAGGCTGGTCTTGAATCCCTGAGCTCAGGCAATCCTCTCACCTTCGCCTCTCAAAATGCAGGGATTACAGGCTTAAGCCACCACGCCCGACCCCCCCCCCCTTTTTTTTTTTGAGTTGGAGTCTCATTCTGTCACCCAGGCTGGGGTAGTGTCACGATCACATCTCACCACAGCCATGATCTCCTAGGCTCAGGCCATCCTCCTACCTCGGCCTTCCGAGTAGCTGAGACTACAGGTGTATGCCCGGCTAATTTTTTTTTTAAATTTTTGTAGAAACAAGGTCTCGCTATGCTGCCCAGGCTGCTGTACTCCTGGTTGGTCTCAAACTCCTGGGCTCAAGCAGTCCTCTGGCCTCGGCCTCCCAAAGTGCTGGGATTACAGGTGTGAGGCACCACACCCAGCCCACATCGCCTTCTGAAAGCCTTGGGCATGTGAGGAGCTTGGCAGGACCTCACAAGATTCAGAGCCAAACTCTGTGCCCTTGGGTGGCCCCTGGCTCATTTCCAGATCTCTGAAGTCCCCGCCCCTGGCAACGGACATCCCCCGGAGCCCCGCTGGGCTCTCCCCTCCTGCAGGAAAACCCCCTTCCCCGATGCTAAAGTCTGGGGTGCTCGTAGTGGATTAGAATTGTCTGGGGACTCAACGTCCTGGCCCTTTTGAGCACCAAGAAAGCGGTGTCTGTGTCCCCAGCACCCACCACAGGGCTGGTATCCAGTGGTGCTCAATAAATGCTTCTTGACTAGAAAGGTGATGCTTGAGGCAAACAATACCACCTCCCAGAGCCCCGAGAGGTGCAGCTGGAGAGATGGGGTGGGCCCGAGCCCCGGGGGGTGACCCAGGCCCCCCCCCACCACAGCTGCCTCACCTGGAGGACGATGGCCGGCACGGAGAAGATCATGGCTTCGTTGAACACCGGGTTGGGGTCGTCTCTCTTCACAGCCGTCTTCTTTTTGCTCATCTTCCTTCCATCCTGCAGCAGGTATACCTTGACGAAGGGGTCTGTGGGCAGGTGGGCGTGGGGTAAGGCCGGTGCCATACTTGCTACCACACCTGGTTAATTTTTTTGCATTTTTTTTTTTTTGAGTTGAAGTCTCACTCTGTCACCCAGGCTGGAGGGCAATGGCATGCTCCCGGCCATCACAGCCTCAACCCGTTGGGCTCAGGCGATCCTTCCATCCCAACCTTCCAAGTAGCTGGAACTACAGGCACGCACCACCATGCCCGGCTGATTTATTTATTTATTTATTTATTGTAGAGATGAGGTCTCGCCAAGTTGCCCAGGTGGGTCTCGAACCCGCGGGCTCCC